CCCTCCACTTCCAGCACTTTCACCTTCACCACTCAAACACTTGCTGATGGGGTTCTGTCTGTTTTGAGTTTGTTTTCCTTCACAATGAAGTCCAGAACTCAAGTGTGAATGTCAGATCTCAGATTTGGTCCCTGTTCGAGAGAGGTAATGCATGAAGGACCCGAGCGACACACGCACGCGCGCGCGCGCGCACACACACGCGCGCGCGCACACACACACACACACACACACACACACACACACACACACACACACACACACACACACACACACACACACACACACACACACACACACACACACACACACACACACACACACACACACACACACACACACACACACACACACACACACACACACACACACACACACACACACACACACACACACACACACACACACACACACACACACACACACACACACACACACACACACACACACACACACACACTTCAGCAGAGAAAAACTGCAAACTAGACTGAGAAAAACAGCCCCTGTTCAATTATTTCAACGCCTCACAACAGATAAGCACATTTTCCAGCAAATTATATTTCAATAATAATAATTGATTGTTGATTATTAAATGTCAAAAACATTGAGAATTAGCAGGAACGTTTGGGAGAAAAATTAAATATTCAGTCCCTCCAGGATTTTGAGTATATATGTGTTTGTATATAGCGTTTACATATACATATATATATTTATATAGCCTAAAATTAAGGCTTTCCTTAAGTCCTCCAGGATTTGTTAATATTGATATTTGTGGCCTGAAATTCATTTGGAGTTTCGCTGTTTAAAAAAATAAAAAAATTAAAAAATCTTATTTCCATTGGACTGTCGAAACCCTGAAGGGACTGAATATTAAAAACATTAACACATTAAATAAAAAAATCTACATGTACTTACTCTGGATATGAATTTGGTGTAAAAAAAAAAGTGTATATTTAATATCAGAATTTTTATTACATTTTTTTTGGCAATTAAAATCAATATAATGATTCCGTCACAGCAAATCTGCACAGAATCATGACTGAGAAGAGGCAAAACAGCTGGAAATTTGGTGTTTTTGGAGTTATGAAATCACATTATTAAAAACATCCACTTGGATTCATTGGGACCAATGATTATACATGTATAAAAAATAAATCAAACCATCTGGATTTATAATGGTCAGAAATTTTGATGTTTTCCATACAATTTTAGTATGTTTTTAAGGTGAGAAAATACAAATAAAAGCAGCACATATAAAATTACAGTGATAATCATCATTTGGAACACAAGTACATCAAATAAAACTAACTGAAACTGCATTATGCAAACAATAATTTGGTTTTATGGATTATTTTTGTATTACTGTCAATAATTACTTTTTTTTTTTAAAGTGTATATTTTTATTTATTGCAGTAAAAAGAATTAAATTATAACCAAAGTATTGAGATTTAAATGCTGAAATTATGTATATAAGGTAGATGACGCATTACATTCATGAGAATTTGGCAACAAAAAAATATTCAATATTTAAAAAATACTATTTTCCATAAATCGCTGTATTACTGTTATAATAATCATTAAAAATAATGAAAATCACCAGTTATTTGGATGCATTTCGGTCATAAGAATTTGAAGGAAAATGTGCTTAGCAGTCTTCAAATTAATGCCACAATTCCTAAAACATCTTAATATTCCTTTCAGTTCTAAAAAATATTATTTGTGAATTTTTTTTTTCTTTTTTTAATTTTGAGGTAAAACGTGACCCAGAACCCCCCCCCCCTTATCAGTCTGGATGAGGACTGATTCGCTTCAGACGTGCGAATGCTTCACTCCAGACGACAAAACAAACACATTGCATCATTACGAGAGAAACTAGACGACCGAAATAAACACTTACTTTCAGTCGCACACACTTTTTATAGCCTTTTTTCTATTTAAACAACTTCTCAGCACACGCACACACGCACACAGTCTTGCATGTTCTGTGTAGATAACTAGGCTGGGGCGATAATTTGAAGCATTGAGATTCCTGGATCATTTCTGAGATTTTCTAAATGCATCGCAATTTACTCTGAAATTAATTCTGAGATTAGTTTTTAACAGCAGAGGGCGCTCAGGGCTAGTTTTAAACAGTAGATGGCGCTCTAGGCTAGTTTTAAACAGCAGATGGGGCTCTGGGCTAGTTTTCACCAGCAGATGGCGATATAGGCTAGTTTTAAAACAGCAGAGGGCGCTCTAGGCAAGTTTTCACCAGCAGATGGCACTCTAGGCAAGTTTTACAACAGCAGAGGGTGCTCTAGGCAAGTTTTCAACAGTAGATGACGCTCTAGGCAAGTTTTAAAACAGCAGAGAGCACTCTAGGCAAGTTTTCACCAGTAGATGACGCTCTTGACACGTTTTAAAACAGCAGAGGGCACTCTAGGCAAGTTTTCACCAGTAGATGACGCTCTAGGCTAGTTTTAAAACAGCAGAGGGCACTCTAGGCAAGTTTTCACCAGTAGATGACGCTCTTGACACGTTTTAAAACAGCAGAGGGCACTCTAGGCTAGTTATAAAACAGCAAAGGGCACTCTAGGCAAGTTTTCACCAGTAGATGACGCTCTAGGCTAGTTTTAAAACAGCAGAGGGTGCTCTAGGCAAGTTTTCACCAGTAGATGACGCTCTAGGCTAGTTTTAAAACAGCAGAGGGGGCTCTAGGCAAGTTTTCAACAGTAGATGACGCTCTAGGCTAGTTTTAAAACAGCAGAGGGGGCTCTAGGCAAGTTTTCACCAGTAGATGACGCTCTAGACAAGTTTTAAAACAGCCGACGGTGCTCTAGGCTAGATTTAAAATGGTGCATGGCACTCCAGGATAGTATTTAAAACAGCAGAGGGCACTCTAGGCTTGTTTTAAACAGTAGATGACGCTCTAGGCTTATTTTAAAACAGAAGACGGTGCCCGGGGCAAGTTTGAAAACATCGGATGGCGCTCTAGGCTTATTGTAAAGTGGTCAAATTAACTCACAATATTAGTTTTGTGATTCTTGTTTTTTGCTTAATTTTTCCCCCAAAATTGACTAATAAATATGCCATGTTTAAATGTGTGTGCAAGGTATTTAATTGTAGAACACACAGCGCTATCTGCTGGAAAAACCTAACCAAAGAATCCATTCAAAAGAGAATCGCAATGCATTCAGAAAAGTCTACGCAGAATCACTCTCTCGATTCACAATGCATGATTTATGGTCCCAGCCCTGGTAGGTAATTGGCATTATAAACCGATCTCTGTCCTATACTGATGCGGAAAAAAAGGCAGTCATGGACCCCTCGACTCTGGATCCCTGAGAAAGATTCCTGTACCGAACTAAATGCTCCGAAATCTGCACACGCAAGCCAGCCGTGAGAGAGACACCGCCACAAGATCATCCAAAACCTGCCGGCTGTGGTGTGGTGTTCCTGAACACCCGTTAGCTCCGAAAGACACGTTTCACTGTCGGAGAGAGAGAAAATAAACCCGGAGGAGCTAGCTTTGTGTAACAGTCATGATGATCCCCGCGGGTCTGCAGCACTGCTCAGCCATCCAGAAGAAGAGGAAAAAACACAACACCAGATAAACCTTGAGGTACCTGCAGCGTCAGCATTCATTCGTCGGCACCTGAATGCACGCTTCGTCGCGTTTGCTCCGATGATAAAAATACAGTAGAGAAGAGTAAGTGTGCTGGTAAAGTTGCTGATCCGATCAGAAAAATAAAAATCATAATAATAATAATAATAATAATAAACAACAGTAACGAGGACAGTTTAAAAAAAGGGTCGTGGTAAAATAGCAGCTGCTTGAGGGTGGTGTGTGTGTTTGTTTTGTTTTTCTCTGAGTGTGTTCAGATGCTGGACTCTTTGGGCGGCAGGTCCACGTTGGTGAGCGAGGTCACCATGGAGAACAGGCAGTCTGAGGTGGAGCTGCTGACGCGGCGGATCTGAGAGATGCGCTCCTGCACACAGCCGGCCGACAGACGAGCCTCTGCGTCATGATCCCAGCACTCCTCCATGGTCTCGCACATCTGACACAGACCCTGCGCACACACAAAGGGGATTTTAGGAAGCCAAAACTATTAGTGAAAAACAGTCATTAACCAGGGTTTCCACTTTAGGCTAAATATCACATCTCCTGACTTTTCCTAAGATTTAACTATAGTCAGAGTTGGGGAGTCACTAGTTACATGTAATACGCTTATATCAGGCGGATTAATATCATCGTATCCAAATACTTTATAAATAACATTTAAAACATTCTCCGGTGTTTATTTATTTATTTATTTTTAGAAAATATCTAAAATCTTTTTTTCAAAGACGCTTTTGAAAAATGAAAGTTTAATATAAATTTGAAACAGTTTGATATAGTACCTAATTGTTACAGCTATAGCTTTGTTAGTTTTATATTGGTTTATTTATTTAATGTGATTTTATTATAGGCCTATCTGATATTTGTAATTCTTTAAATTATTTCAATATAGGGCTATTTTATCTAGATATGACACTATTGTTTTGAGCCTACAAAAGTGGACATGAAATTAGTAAAGTTTAATGTCTTTCTGTTGTATTCATATAGTGTATTATCTCCAAAATAAATTAAAACAATAAAAAGAAAAGAAAAAAGCCGCGCGGCATTAACAGAGCTAGGAATGGAGCGCTCTTTTCCTCGCTCTCACACACATACACAGGCATCTAAACGCGCAAAAACACTTATTAAACTTGACAAAACCTCTTGAAAACCTTTACTGTCTGCTGTGTCTTTAATATGGTGTAAAGATTAGTATGCGTTATTGAAACATCAAAGAGATGCAGCAAAGAAAAGTCACTTATAAAAACTCTAAATCATTTTATGCAACAGCCTTACATTTAAAGAGAAACATAAGGGCGATCATATGCAAAAAAAGACCCCAGCCTATAATTTGTTCCAGATGTTTTCTTTCCCTTATTTATTTATTTATTTATTTGTTTGTTTGTTTATGTGTTTGGCACATGTACTCGTGTGCGATCGGAAAACTGTGCACGCCTCTCCTTTCACTCCACTCCGAAGCCCCGGCTGGCCCTCTTTGGCCCAAGGTATTCGGCGGGCCGAAAAAGGCCGGCTGCTGGCCCCAAGAAAGCCCCGCTTTGGCCCGATTAGGCCCCGGAAGTGACAGTGGAAACCCCACTGGCCTTGGCTCGCCCTGGCTCGCTCGCTTTAGGCGGGATAGTGGAAACGCGGCTATTGCAGTAACATGCTGTGGACTACAAACTTTCAGCTGTTGCCGAGATTTCAAAATGCAGAAATGGTGTAAACATCACTTTAATATCATTCAGTAAGTTTAATTTAAACAATTAAAAGCAGTTTAGCACCAAACAACATCACAATCTCTGTAAGAGTAATATGTTCAAGTGTTCTCCAAGGCTTCAGTTGATGGCACTAGTTTAAACACCATGGGGACGCTTCCCTGCTTCAGCCTTTGTAACCTGGTGAGCAGTAAAACACTGCAGTCCTCTGCAGCACACCCCCGTGTTGTCTGTAATAGTGTTGTCCATCTACTGAAGCTTTAACAACCTCTATTTCCCGCTAACATTTCTTAAAACAGCATTGATTTACCATGTCTAATTCTAGCAACAAAAAACACGTGATGATCATGTGAAAGAATGTTTAAGACTGTCCTGTTCTGAACACAAGTGGACAGAGAGCTCCCACTGATATGGAAAACACTCTTGTGCTTCTACAGATGACGTCTGAATACTCACTGAATGCTTGAGCCAGCAGTCCTTAAACGCCGGCCGCAGCTTCTTATGGACCACAGCATCCTGCAGATCCTCCAGCGACGGGTGCTGACCGATCTCCTCCTCAAACGGCAGCATGTACTCGTCCACAGGACCTGAAGGAAAACATCAGAGACATCACAAGCAGCAGTCAGCAAAGGGAAGACTGGTCTTAAAGGGACAGCTCACACTAAGAGAGACATTACACTCATTTGACCCTTTAGTCCAGGGGTGTCAAACTCAATTCCTGGAGGGCCGATGCCCTGCACAGTTTAGTTCCAACCCTGCTCCAACACACTTACCTGTAGGTTTCAAACAAGACTGAAGGACTCAATTAGTTTGATCAGGTGTGTTTAATTAGGGTTGGAACTAAACTGTGCAGAGCTGCGGCCCTCCAGGAACTGAGTTTGACACCTGTGCTTTAGTCGTTTCAAACCTGGTTGGGTCCTGCTGCTCTCGCGGTACAGCCGTGGGAATGCAGACCTCTAGTTTGGAGCACCAGTGCTACCAAGCAATAAGGTTAATTCCGAGCCCTGAATAGTCAACATTCTAGTGGTCTTTTTCGATGATTTCTGAAGTGCCGTTTAACAGACTTAAACTGTTTTTTTCACCATTTTTAAAGATCATAACATTTATGACTAATTAAACTAATTATTTTGCTAGCTATTATGCAAGATACGAGTATTTTAAAGACTTAACTAACTAAGCAAGTCATTGGACAGTGGTTTGTTCTGTAGGCAACCTAAAAAAGGTTAGTAGGGCAAATAATAGTGACCTTATATTCTTTATTAATAGCGAAAACTGCTTTAATTTCAACCAAAATACAAAGAAATCAGACTTTCTCCAGAAGAAAAATACAAGAGGAAATACAGTGGAAAACAACAGCACTTGAGAAACATCTGAAAATAAATAAATAAATATATATATGAAAGGGATTTTAATGTTTCTGTCAGTTGTCCATCATAAACAGCGCTGCAGTGCTGTTCTCAGGTCAGTGCATTAGTATTTTCTCACCATCAGCAGCTTTGCAGCGTGACACCAGCTCCCACAGCACCAGGCCCATGGCGTACATGTCTATCCGCAGAAAGGAGTCCCGCTGGAAGTTTATGGCTCCTTCCAGCACCTCCGGGGCCATGTACCTCCTCGTGCCCACCTGCGGGACACACACACACACACACATCAGCTGGAGAAAAACACACTTATACATGCAGTGCGGGCATTAATGTGTGTAAACAACCACTGTACTGTCAGTTTTCATGAAATCAGCCACTTTATTAGGTACATCTGTCTAACTGCTCGTTAACGCAATCAGACAATTTTCTTATCAGCCAATCACATGGCAGCAGCTCAGTGCATTTAGGCATGTAGACATGGTCAAGACGATCTGCTGTATTTCAAAGCGAGCATCAGAATGGGGAAGAAAGGGGATTTAAGAGACTTTGAGCGTGGCATGGTTGTTGCTGCCAGACGGGCTGCTCTGAGTATTTCAGAAACTGCTGATCTACTGGGATTTTCACGCACAACCATCTCTAGGGTTTACAGAGAATGCTCCGACAAAGAGGAAATATCCAGTGAGCGGCAGTTCTGTGGGCGCAAATGCCTTGTTGATGAGGCCAGAGGTCAGAGGAGAATGGCCAGACTGGCTCCAGCTGATAGAAAGGCAACAGTAACTCAAATAAGCACTCGTTACAACCGAGCTCTGCAGAAGAGCATCTCTGAACACACAACACGTCCAACCTTGAGGCGGATGGGCTACAGCAGCAGAAGAGCACACCGGGTGCCGCTCCTGTCAGCTAAGAACAGGAAACTGAGGCTACAATTCACACAGACTCACCAAAACTGGACAATAGAAGATTGGAGAAACGTTGCTGCTCTGATGAGTCTCCATTTCTGCTGACACATTCAGATGCTCGACTCAGACAACATGAAAGCATGGATCATCCTGCCTTGTATCAGCGGTTCAGGCTGCTGGTGGTGGTGTAATGGTGTGGGGGAGATTTTCTTTGGGTCCATTAGTACCAATTGAGCATCAACGCCACAGCCTACCTGAGTATTGCTGCTGACCATGTCCATCCCTTTATGAGCACAGTGTCTCCATCTTCTGATGGCTACTTCCAGCAGGATAACGCAGCATGTCATAAAGCTCAATCATCTCAGACTGGTTTCCTGAACATGACGATGAGTTCACTGTACTCAAATGGCCTCCACAGTCACCAGAGCTCAATCCAATAGAGCAGCTTTGGGATGTGGTGGAACGGGAGATTGGCATCATGGATGTGCAGCCGACAAATCTGCAGCAACTGTGTGATGCTATCATGACAATATGGAGCAAAATCTCTGAGGAATATTTCCAGTAGCTTGTTGAATCTATGACATGAAGGATTAAAGCAGTTCTGAAAGCAAAAGGGGGTCTGACACGGTACTAATAAGGTGTACCTAATAAAGTGGCCGTGAGTCTATATATATATAATAAATGAATTCACATTACATAGTTACATTACAGTACATGCTTTTCCTAATCTTTATCTAAAATTAAGGCTTTTTGCAGAGGAACAAATGTATACTGCTGGAAAAGGGACAGAATATGACGGATTAATCATTTTATGTCAAGTAATAATTGTTTATTCATGATTGTTGGAAGCCAAAATTGAAATCGAAACTGAATTTGTGAAAAGTGAAACAGCTGACCTGGCCATGTGTGTCTCCCGGCGGTTTCCCCGGCTCAAAC